AATTTGGATTTCACCGAATACTCGGCAACCGAATACTATAGAGAGATGGAGAACAAGCTAGCCCGCTCCAGGGTGTACACTCGGCTCTGCAAACAAGTGACCGCTTCAGTAATGCGACACCTCTCTGCAACTACACTCGGGTCTCCTTCTGAGGGGTGGAAAGGCTTATGCTCTGCTTCAACCTTCAGTTTCCCATCTCTACAGAAGGTCTTGCTATGCGGGGAACAATGACAATGTTTAAGACACCTCATCAAGGTAGATCTCGTCTTCTTGCAGAACGTATCAGGAAATTTCTGTTAAAGCAGTCCCTGAGGTTTCATCTTTAGAATGTTTGCCTTTTGAACTTTAGTCTTAAATGGAAACGAAAGAAATGTGCCCTCTTAATTTGGTTCTGTGGAGTTAGTTAGACATGAGACTCAATATAATTAACTGGATTGAAAATTGTGATGTCTCCAAGAAATCCTTGGTCATTCAAAAGAAGTTATTAGTATTTCATATGTACCTACACCTAACTGCTCCCATCAGAAAATTAGGGGACAGAACCAGCAGCATATCGACAAGTACAAAGAGAGCCCTGAGAAGATCATGAATAGAAGAGTTACCAGAGTAGAGGGTTGGGCCAGTAAAAGTCAGTCTTCAGAGAAAGTGAAAGTCAGAGGCTCACAGACAGAAGCAGACAGGGAGGAAATCCTTCCAAGCTCCCAGGAGAGCCTATTCAAAGGCATGGGAGTGGAAAAGCAGAAGTTAGATGCCGGGGGGTTTGGGGGGGTAGCAAGCACAGAGATGGTAGCATGCATCAGTATTTGCTAGCGAGGCCACTCTGGAATGGGGAAAACGTGACCCAATGGTAAACTCCGCACGCAGTGCACAGGACTTGGCTATGACAAGAAGTGCCTATAGTTCTTTAGTGAGAGGTATCTGGATAAAAATAGTGCTTATCAAGCATTATTCTAGAGTTTAGAATAGAATAACCAACTGAAAAATTCTAACAGAAAAAAAAAATCACAAAGCTCCTTACAACATTTTTCTGCTAATTTGTAACAGCAAAGACTTCTCCATTGGGTGGGCTGTATCGAGACCTACACTGTAAAGAGTAGAAAGGGACCATGACCAGAAGTTCACGGCGTTCTCCCTAGGTTGCCATTAGGGCATAGACTATAGAACTATGTTATCCTCATTCACCTTATTTATTTTGTCCCTGGTCTTAGTGTCTGATTTTTGCTTTAAACGCAACACAGTAGCTATTTCCTAAAAGCAGGCAATTCCGTGCAGCATAACTGGGTAGACAGAAGAAAGAAAATAACCTGTTCTTCGGGGGACATTCAAGGGAGGAAAATAATGAAATGTCACCATTGGCCCGACTTTGTAGAAAGGATATAGCTCAATTTTCAATGACATGGCCACCCGCCCGTGTATCGTGTAGCTTCTGAGGCCTCACCAAATCTCCTAACTAAACTAGGCTATTCTAGTTCCTTTGTTATGTTACAGAAGTGTGTGTCCATGTATTTCTCTGTCCTGAAAGCAGAGACTGGGAAAAAAGCGTGATAAAACGCAGTCCTACATTTTCTACGGCAGGAGAAGGAACCCAGTAAACACAAACACAGCAGAGCACTTCCTTTTGTTGACAACCTGATGATTTTCCCCTTAATGCATTGTTTAGAATAGCAATTACGCGTTGTTTCCCATTATCCTACAAACAGAACCACCGGCACGCAGCCGTCGCTCTTCCGTCCAACAACCAATCATGGAGAATCTAGAAAGGATTCACGTGCTGGTGAGACCTGTCAAGATGGACAGCCCAGAGCCCAAGAGTGGAACAGGTGCGTGGCTGGGCAGCTGGGGGCAAATCACCCCTCCACCTTCTCATTTCTGCCTTCCCGGCTCTTCTCCCCCCCCTTCCAGTGCTTCCCTCTGGGTTGGGAGGGAGAGCAGCTTTGGAAGAACCTTCTTTTTCAGCCCATTTCCTCCTGCCAGAGAAGACTGGCTCGCTCTCAAGACTGCAAGCATTTGACCATGGCACACAGCAGTAAGCATATCAACTCATTTTATTCCCATCCCTCGCTAGGGAATCGGAAAGCCAAGGGCACACTGGTGATTTCCCTGGTTTTATGGCTTCTCTACTCCCCCCAGGCCTGCAACACATTTTTGGTGCTTGTGTTCCCAGTGTCCTGGCATCTGCAGTGTGGCAAACCCAAACTGAGAGCCAACAGCCCCAGAGCTTCTCCCTATTAAAATGTGTTGGATTTCACATGCATGTTTCAAACACCATTCAAGGCATGATTTACAGGCTACTGTCTAGCCCCACAGCTGTTTCTTCATCCCCCAGACTTAGTCTTTTCTAGGAACCCACCACTCAGCTCCCTAGCAAATAGTCCTCCCAGTTTCAACCCCTTCAGTCATTCTTGGGCATCCAAAACTAAGCGAGACCTACGGTAAGGGCTTATTGAACGAATAAACCATGATTCTGTCCACGGGATTATTCACTCATGAGAACAGCCCATTTGAGGCCTTCTTTCTGTTTACCCACCTTCTAATCAAGTTTTTTTTTTTTCCATCAAATTAAACCAATCACTACTGACCCATTGATAAAGGTTATTTATATACATTAAAAACAGCACAAGTCCAAGGACTTCTGTGTGGGCTTCACTAAATAGTTGCCACCCAGGGCTTTCGCAGTTCCTGTGCTCTTTCTATAGAAAGGAACAGAAAACACTTTTATATATTGCAAATTATCTTTCTGTGGTTGACTAAAGACAGACTGTGTTCGGCAGAGAGTTAGCATCCTACTATCATCTCTCCGTGACCACCCACCCCAAGGTCCCAACCCTCGTCTCACTTCCAAGACTCTGAAATCACCCCTGAAAAGGTTAGACCTCAGGCTTAGGGTTATGGTTGGTTCAAACCCCATGGTGACAGCATCTTCTAAATATTTGGTTTTAAGCTGTCGGAGGACCAGAAAGGTACTGTATTCATTTATGATTCTTCTGTGCAGAGCACAGCTCTTGGCAGAGTATGGACGCAGGTCAGGTGAGTGGTCGGTAGGATTCCCCTGCCCTGTGACTGAGGCCCACCTTTCAAGGGAGGAAGGCAAAGGGAAAAAAAAAAAAAAAGGCATGACATTGACAGAAACGTCCCAGGAAAAGCCCTCGTTGGAATTGGTGTTGGATACATCAATTTCACCCAAATGGCTCCGGAGATGTAGCTCCCATTTCAAAAGAAAGCAATTAATTAAAAATCATGTGAATTAAGATGTTACAGTTCACATCAAATGACATTTTGCCCTTTGTTGCACTATACCCAGCTTTTCCAATGAACAGCATCTCTTCTGCATAGGCTCCCGGCCCGCCACCCCCCAGCTCCGAGACTCGAAGTCTTCCCAGAAAACAACACGCACCCAGCTTCCTCCTACACTTTGAACTACTACACAACACTTGAGGAGATTCACTTCGTCACAAGCCACAGTCCAAAGAACAAGCCTTCCTTGTTAAGCCAAAGTCCTTTAAGACAGGAATACCGGTAAGGAGCCCTGGGGTTTACCATAGCATTTGATGGCTGGAAAGGCGAGGCCACCAAGTTCCCTAACTCAGTAAAGGCAGCTTTAGCCTCGGGACTCGCCTTCTCTTCTCCTCCCACAGCTGTTTCTTTGCAGACCTCACGAAGGAAGATTACTCATTTACTCTTTGGATAATCTCATAATGTTGACATGCTGAGCTGTCAGATCTTCAGGTTACCTGAAGAGGCTCTCTTTTTAAACCCTTGCATTAAAAATAACCCCAAATTCACACTTGTTATCAATGGCCCCCAAGGCCAAAACTGCAAAGGATGAGAATAGCAGCAATAAAATGACCATTCATTCAATACCCACCATGTGTCAGATGTTGTGTCGGGCATTTAACATGTGCGCCGTTACTCCTTACTCTCTCAAGATAGTCAGTGGAGATAGCCTCGTTATCCAACTCTACATGAGTGTGGAAGCCACGACTGTCCGGAAAAATACAACTGGCACTGAGAGAAGTCAGACTCAAAGCCAATCCTCTGTTGCCAAGAGCCCACGAACTTTCCTTCCAGTCCACTAAGGTCCTCCCGAGAACAGAACAGTAGACCTTGGGAACACTGCGTTCCCAGGATGGGAAGAACTCGAGCTGGTAGGAGATGTCTGATTACTGGAGGGGCAGGGAAGGGAGATTCCCAAGAACCTGCATGCTTCCTCCTGTCCTAATACCTGATTCTGCAATCCCCTGAGGTGAGCTGAGCAGTCAAAACACTTCTGCTCACTGAGTCACACCTGCAACCTCCCCCCAACCCCACAGCTTTGGGTACACTGTCAGCAAGGAGACCCCTCCATGGCTTTCTGTATTTCTGAAGCTCCAAACCTCGGCAGTTAAACCCTCTTCCCAGCTGCCGCTTCCTCAACATCCTTTGGCTATCAGAAATCGCGACACAACCCCTAAATTGCGACAGAATCAGACAGACTTGCCACACGCGTTCCCCGCCCCCCTTCCCTCTCCTCCTCTGAATTCTGTATAGCGTAGTGTGGCCTCCCCCAGACTCTTCACGGCACAGGTCTTTTTGTTTTTCGGGTTTTTTGTTGTTGTTGTTGTTGTTTTTTAGAACAACACAGGCTATAAATAAGTAATTAAGTAAACAAAGAAATAAATCTGCCTGGTATCACATCCACTTTCTCGCTCACAACCACACGAAAGACTCCAACACTACTGCATGCACAGAGTCCTCTTTCCATAAGCAATGCTCACACGAGTCCAGACTGACGTTTTGGCCACGGCACCAGGCACTCACCAAGGGCACCTTACCTTCCCACTCCAATTTCTATACTGTTTCAACCTGCCCACGTTTCTTCCTTCACTTGAACCATCATGGTTTTATATTAGATTTTCCTCCAGAAAGAATGACTGGCAATTAATCCCAGCGGCCCGTCCCCGTCCCCCCCCCCCCCCCCCCAACACTGGGTGGTTAGCTAGGACTCCGAAGCCCCTTATTACCATTAGAGTCTTCCACTTCTTCGGCTGGGGTAGTTTTCTGGGAGGAGTGGTGAGCGTGTGAGGAGAGCAGACTGACAATCCGTGGCCTAGGGAGGGTCAGGGCTTTTCCGTGGACCTTGAGGGAGTGTTCCTTCAACTGGCTGATTGTCATGGTGGAAAAGGAGCACCAAGAACACTTGTAGGCATGTTCACCTGGAAAAAGATGGCGGTAAGGGGCAGAACAGGAAAAAGAGGGAAGGGTATAAGGTGGGGTAGAAAACAGAATTGGCATAGTTAATTCAAGCGAGGGAAATGTCTCTGAAGCTTCATGGTCTAAGAAGCCTCACAGACAAATTACCCGCCCCTTCCCACCACAATGCTCCTCTGGGATTGAAACTCTTCGATGAGCTCCATAATCAAGTGACCTGGTCCCTTTTCATTTCATGCTCTACTTACAGGGACGAGCCCATGGATTGATTCCCCAACAGGGAGTGAAACCAAATGTCTACGATCCCTCCTTCAGGAAGGTTTTCCAGTCTCTCATTCTCTCTCTCTCCACTAGAAATGACCATGTCAGCTTTCATTCAAGGATATTTTTTATCATCTGCAGAATATAATATACTTAATTCTTATTCCAAGGGCCTATCAGTGGCTTTCCAAGCACAGGGTAACTAAGTGCAAACTCTATTGTGCTATTTTCATTCTTTACTTCTTTGCTGACTATGCATCTCCTTGATTCCACACATCCTCGTTTGTTTTTTTTACCAGTTCACAAACCTCAGCATAAAACTCCATGCCCCTACCTAATCAATAGGGAAGAAATGGGTAAAAATAAGTCATTCTTTTTTTTTAACTAAGAGAAAGAGAGTTGTATATGTATAAGCACATGTGTGTATTTCCAATATTCTTTGATAAACAGGACATTTCAGTAAAAGTAGGCACTTTTATTTTAATTATTTTTATACCACAGAAACAGTGACCAAATGAGACTATGGTTCACCTTTGCTCTAAGTCAGCTTTTAAATTAAGTGCATTTTAAAAGGTCAGGCTGTGAAATGGGCATGCTTATGTTGTTGGACAAACACTGGTTTGATTGACTCAGAAAGCAGTTTTGCTTTTCCTAACATTAGGCTTTGAATGCTCATGCTTGCAGCTCAATATCTGTACTGCTCAGGGTTGATATTAAGAAAATATCCTTGGGCGCCTGGGTGGCTCAGTCGTTAAGCGTCTGCCTTCGGCTCAGGTCATGATCCCAGGGTCCTGGGATCGAGGCCCACATCGGGCTCCCTGCTCGGCAGGAAGCCTGCTTCTCCCTCTCCCACTTCCCCTGCTTGTGTTCCTGCTCTCGCTATCTCTCTCTCTCTGTCAAATAAATAAATAAAATCTTAAAAAAAAAAAAAAGAAAATATCCTTTAACACACAGGGTTTCCAGCCATTAGGAAATGATTAAGTAAAAGTGGACACAGCTTCTTGATGAATGATCATTCATTAAAATAAATTCTTGAAGGGCTTGTAATAATATAAAAAAATAACAGAAAATAAAATAGTGATACTCAGAAAAACAAAGAGAAAGGCACAATATATTTTAGATTAAATTATAATCACAACTGTTAAAAATAATTATAGAGGCAATGGTTGAAAGGAAGTGTTATCAAATGTTAACAACAGTGGTCTTTAGAGAATAAGATTATGGGGTGACTGACTCTTATTTCTTCTTTCATTTCCAAATTTTCTCTAATGAGCAGGAGTTGTTTTTTGGTTTTTTTTTTTAACATTTTTTTTTAAGGTGAAATTTTAAAACCAGAGGAGAGGAAAGAGAAGGAAGTAGAGGGGAAAAAAGGAGCAGAAAGGACCTTGAGCAAGGAAAGTTTTGTGGGCCAGGGAGGAGGAACTGTGGAGAGAGCTGCAGAGCAGGAATGAGAAGGTAAACCTCTGCCCTCGCTTTGACCCAGCTGAGATGGGTCGTTCCCAGCCACCCTGAAAATGACTTAATGTCTTCACATGTGAGGTGAGCACAGCACCCCAGCTTCTGCACTGAGACTCCGCTTTCCCACTGATGACTCCCAGATCACGTACTGCCACGAAAGCCTTGAAGAGAACCTTCAGTGACGCAACAAACTACAGCCCAAGGTGGAAGAGAAGTTCAAAGTCAGAGGACCCGAGCAAGAACCTCAGTCAGTCCCCAGCTGTCATCTGGGAGTCCGGATGATGCCCGGTTGTCAACAGTGGTATCTATTACTATAATAAATATGGATATATAGAATATTATTTACCATATAACGTGGAAATGTATATGTCAATACATATTAATCATTGTATAAAATTCCAATGCCCTTCTTATTCCATTTTTAAATTCTTTAATGCAAGCCTGGCTGCATGAACCTGGTTGGGTAGTGGCAAGTTGCACAACCTGAGAGAGAATTCAAATCCAGATTATTTGATTCGTCTATGTGACTTTTACCTTTTAAAATAAAACAATCCATCTAGCATAGACAAGATGAGTCAGGTGTTTTGGAAAATGTATTGGCTTTCTCCAAGCCAAGACACGGACACCAAGGTTCCCAGGTGTGCAGAGAAACAAATTATACCGCTCCCCCCTCTCTTTCTGGATGCTTCCCTCTTGCCAACCAGCGAGCACAGGAGGCCCGTGTGTGTGGTCAGCTCAGTGCCCTGGAGTCCGTGGGCAGCCTCTGGTACTTTCTTAAAGTCCTTCCCACAGGCCAAATCATTTACCCAACTCCCACTGCTTACACTGCTTTTGCCAAGGCGGAGACCTGTGAGAAAGACGGAGGGTGTCCCAGCTGAAGAATTTACAATACGCACACACATTACAAAATAGCGGTCTGAACCCTGAAGCCTCTTACTCCATAGCCTTTAGTAGACTTTTCCCGAAAATATAAAAATACTAACAGACGAACAGCCAGCCTCCCTGTCCCATCCCCATCCACAGCCCAGTGGGCCTTGGGCAGCTGGATGGCTTCAGGAGTTTTACTCCATGAAGCCAGTTCGACAGGACCCATCATCAGGAAAGGTGGTCAAAACCTCTGAGCGGGCCACTGGGTGCTGTGGGGTTGGGCTTCTGAGTGTGGCTGAGAACACCACGGAGAGGCCCCCAGGTCCCGCTGCCCCGCCTTCCCTGCATCAGACCTCTTTCCTCTCTTGGCTGAGCTCTGATGTGCTACCCGCGAGCATCCTCCATCAGATGCAAAAAAGAGAGACCAGCAGCATCTTGTCAGCGATAAGGATGCAGGCTTTCGTTCTGGAGTCGAATTCTTAGTGAGTGGGTTATGTGGCCTTGAATAGGTCACTTTTTTTTGTATCCTCCTCTGACACTGAAGGGGATAGCACCTACCCTTTAGCACTGTCATGAGGATTAACTAGTGTGATGAATATAACACGCCTAGTGCACAGCCTGGTAGGTGAGGGATGCTCAGGACGGAAGCACGAGGAGATGGAACAAGAGTTACAGAGACCAGCACAGCTCCTGGACACTCATGACCCACAGTCATTTCTTATCTGCTGTAAGGAAATGTATTTAAGGGTATCTCATGAGAAATCTTGCATGTCTTGAGGACTCTGACACTTTGAACTTCTCAAGACTATACTTTTATTTTAGTTAGGAATTATCTTCAGTAGATGCTAACAATTCATGCATTTCCATTAGAAAGCCTGGGTAGGGGCGCCTCGGTGGCTCAGTTGGTTAAGCGTCTGCCTTTGGCTCAGGCCATGATCCCAGGGTCCTGGGATCAAGCCCCGCATTGGGCTCCCTGCTCAGCACGGGTGTCTGCTTCTCCCTCTCCCGCTGCCCCTCCCCCGCTCATGCTTTCTCTTTATCTCTCAAATAAATAAATACAATCTTAAAAAAAAAAGAAAAGAAAAAAAAAAGAAAGGCTGGGTAATTTAGAAATTTCTCTAAAAAACAAGCCTGTTAGTAGCACATAATCAACTATGACATGGGTGACATGGGCTTGGTATTATTTTGGCTTCAGGAGATTCTATAATTTTTCTTTATGTTTCTTCATTAGATTAAAATACAAATGAACATGCAACCATGTCAAGAATAACTTCTTCTCATGTGCGGGATAAGAGACTTTGAATTTCGCTCAGGGACCATAGGATTTCAAATCCAGAGGACTCATGCATCAGGAAGGCCAACTCACCAGCGTGAGCCTTGAGTATATGTGTTTTCAGCCGGCTGTTATAGGAGGACTTGAAGGAGCAGAGTTTGCACCGGAATGGTTTATGGTGTCCATGGTGGGTTTGCATATGGCGATCCAAGCTTGATGGAAAAGAAAAATAAAGGAGAGAGAAAAACGACAGGATTAACAATTACATACATTTTTCTCCCTGCCCTTTTCCAGCAATCCCACTTCGAAGCTGTTCAAAGTCATTTTGTTACTTCCCAAGGATGGTGCTTACCCAAACCAAAAACAACAACAAAAATGACAAGAGTGGCCGTGCCTACTCGAAAGGGAAGGGAGGCTCAAGGCAGGAAAAGATCAAGAGCCTTTTTGGATTGAGAGACATGGCAGTGGGAACAGGTCATAGTAGACTCTCATTTTCCCTTCCCTAGAAGCACGTATAATCGGAAGAGGGCATCCAAAGAGAAAAGATGAAATACCAGGGAATGCAAGTTTTCTGCCAAGTTGGTGAGGAGTGCCTATCAAATAGTCCCTTAACTTATTCCTCCCCACCAAAAAAGGGCATTAGAAAAGCTGTGCATTTAAAAAGGGCTTTCTTTTTAAATTTCAATTCTGCATTCGTGGTGAACACTCAGGAGGGGAAGGGAAGTTTCAAAGTAGTTGAGCTCCTTGCAATGGGCTGTCACGTCTCTGTCTTTGTAAATATGGAGGCAACGTACAGATATGTTTCAAAGAAGTCATGTGATCCAAAGGCCACTCATCCCTTCTGATAAACACCGCAATGTTTGCTGTACCTCAGTCTTCCAGAGCAAATTATAAAGAAGTTATTTAATTATGGTAAGCTCCCAGTATTTCATAATAATTACTAGTCTAAAAAAATAATAAATCTCCCAAACAAGGTGTGGGAAGGAGTTCTAATTTGTACCGGTACCCCAGAGAACTAGACTCCATTCTAAATGACTCATTTGGGAATGGTTGCTGCTTACCATTTAAACATATAATGTTCTCCTGAGCTCCAAAGCAGCACTTTCAGTCGCCTCCAGACATTTCCCTCTGGGTGTCCTTTAGCTTTCTTAAACTCAACTCAACTCAGCCCTAAACAAAACCATTGGTTTTTTCCCCTCCAAAAAAGACGCTTTTCCTCATCTCCTTGCTTCTACAAAGGACACCACCATTCTCAGTCAACCAGATCGAACAGCTAGGTGTCATTTGTCCTCTACTTTGTTTCTCATCCCTCAGCCCCTACATTAAAGTCAGTTTTTCCAAATCATGAAGATCCTGCTTCCTTTAACCATTCCCAAAGTTCCATCCTAACTCCTTGGATCACCTACTATTATTGCTTCCTAATTGGTTTCTCCCATCTTTTTTTTCAACTCAAGAGCATGAGCTATGGCGTCAGACGGCCTGGGTTCAAATCCCAGCTATTGCTTATAAACCGCATGGCCTGGGCAAGTTACATAAACCTCCTCAATTTTCTAATCCACAAAATGGAGACGGTAGTGGGCGCGTACCTCATAAGGTTGACTTAAGGATAAATGAAATAATACTTGAAGGTACTTTGCGCACTGCGTGACACATAGTAAGTCTCAATAAATGTCAGCAATTATGATGACTACTCATTCCAGAGTCTTCCTTTAGCCAGTAATGTAAATTACAAAGTCTTAATTCCGCATTCAAAGACTCCAAATACAGTCTCTACTCAAGTCTTTGAACTTTGTCTTCCACTATTCTTTTACATTACAACTTAAAGGTTAGTCAGACTGGACCCACCAGCTGGGCCCCCACGAGCCTCATGCTCCGTTCCACAGGCTTATGCTCTCATCCCTTCCACCATGTTGTACGTCCTGTCCAAACTATTCAAGTCCTGTCTTCAGACTTTAAGACCCGACTCAAATGCTCCCTACTCCGTAAAACCTTCCCAATTCTTCCACAGTGGAAGAAGTAACATTTCCCTTCTTTGAAACTTCATAGCATTTTACTGATAAATTTTTGGGGAAAGATAAAGTGCCTTATTTTGCCTCATTTGTGTGCTTGCTTTGTTTATAACTCCCCTAGCCCCTAAACTCCCTTAGCTCACAGACCATGGCCTCTTCATCTTTATATCCCCCTTGGTACCCCCCACCAAGTCCCCAGCACACTGCCTAGCCCAGGGAGTATCCATTTATTCACAGGGGTCTGTTGAGACTCTACTGGGTGTCAGAAAGCAGGATAGATGCTGGGGAATGAATACTTCTTAAACTGACGAGAACTACACAAGCTTTACGTCAGTGCACGCATCTGACGACAAAGACGAGACATCAGGCTCCGTGGCACTCAGGGTTTGTAACCCATCCTACCCACTGGAAAAGCATTGCCTCCTCCTGCATTTCAACAACTAACTAGCACTTTGTCTTTTTAAGAAGCAACCAGCCCAACATTTATTTTCAATCATCCTAAAAATAAACAGCCTGTCAGTCTTACAATCAGTCACCTCCATCCAAGACGGTGGCACACATTATCGGTCATGTATCTCTCTCAGATAGTTCAAAGAGAAAGGCAGCAGAAGGTCGTTTCTTCTCAGAACCACCCCCCTTCCCATCAACCCCCAAAGCCGGTCACAATACTCCAAATCTACAACTCCAAAGCTGTGATGGCCTCAGGCAGCTTCTTCGCCTCAACCTCCCTGTACTTCAATCACCTCTTGGCATCAGTAACTTCCTTACTTTTCAAGGTATTTTAAAAAAAAAAAATCTCAAGCAATGATTCTTTGGTCACATGACGGAAGCGTCCTAATTCTACCTCCTCAGCCCCTCAATTTCCCAAATTTCCATTAGTTCCTCGAATGCCGATGAGGTTCTGGATGGACGTTTGACAGATACACCAGTAAATTCATCTACTTTCTAGACTTTTGTAAATCATAGCAATGCCTCCAAAATAGGCACTTTTCGAAAAGGCCCGTATTTGCCAAGTCTAATGTTAAGCAATCTCGTGCTCTTGATCCCCTTTGACAGACGGGGGGACTGAGGCCCGAGGTAACCTAAGCAGCTAAGCAGCAGGTGCGAAGCCCAAGCGGGGCTGTCGGACTCCTCCGCGCCTCTGCTGCTCCAGCTTCGCTGCTTCCACCACACCTCCCTCCCTCCCAACCACTAGCTGCGAGCACGCGGCAGCACTTACTTGTGCCTGAAAGCAGAAACAAAGGAGCAATACTGGCAGCCGTACTTGTCCTCGCGGGTAAACATGGCCAGGGCCAGATGGCTCCTCTCATGAGAACGCAGCCCCTGCATGGACATCAGGACTCTGTCACATTGACTACAATGGTATCCCCCCGGCCGGGTTTCATCCTCCAACATTCCATCAAGCAAGCAGTGTTCACCATCCACCCGGTCCACCAGGGCGCCACTGGCATCTTTGGCTGCTTCCAGTCCATCCAGGAACAAGTGGGAAGGGTCTTCAGCCTCCTGCTAAGAGAACCACACACACACACATGCCCCACCAACAAAATAAATATCCATCATCATCGTCTCCAGCTCTCCTCCTCTCCCTTCATTCTCCCAAACTCATCAGCATCTCCTGCTCAAGCTTCCTCCCCTGCCTCTGGGGCTCCCCCTAGAGGGAGGGCAAACCCGCCTGCCATTCGTCAGGCAGTGCTGGTGTTTTGAGGGCATGTCCAGGCTCAGGCTGCTACTGCCCGGGGAAACACGAGAGAGGGGCTTTCCCACTGTGAAGACCGTTCACTCACTTGGCTCCCATCTTAGAAAGCACATTCACACAGCCATCCCACCTGAGCTGACATAAAGCAGGGTTAGGGTTATGGCTCAGAGAAAAGAAAGGAAGGAAGGAAGGAAGGAAGGAAGGAAGGAAGGAAAGAGGGAAGGAAGGAAGGAAGAGGGGAAAAAAAAAAAAAGCGGAGAAGTTTGGGCACCTAGGAGCCGTGGGCCATCCTTGGGAAATGAAGGAATGGGAAGGACCCTGCCCTTCGCCACCTAGGCTCCTCCCCACTCTGCATGTGGTGACTTCACCCATCGTTCGGGAGGCTGCCGTATGATCGACTGAAAAACTTAAGGAGCAGCCTGGGCTTAAGACACCCGTGTTTGGAGGTGACTCCTTGGGTTACTGATTACACACGAAGAGCTGCCCCGTTTCCCTTGAGCGATTCCAGGAAACAAGCCTGGGACACACCACGGGGGCGTGGAAGGGGCCGACCGGCGCTGTCCCCGGGGGCCATTGTGCTGCTGAGAGCCAGAGGGGCTTCGGTCTTAGTGAAGGAAAGCAGAGACTTTACGTCCATGTTACGTGGGCACAATAGGACACCAGATCGAGAAGGGCCGGTGACAAAAACATAGTCACGTAGCTAGAGACAAAGAGCTGAGCCCTGAACTAAGTTCTCTGCCCCAAAATCAGAGCTTAGCCATATCCTGGAAGGCAGGGATGGTGGCTCGGTCACTGAAACTGCGGCTGCTGAGGGGATTCCGATGTTCATGTTCAAAACAGGCGGCCCAACAGAAGTCAGGGGCAGGAGGGAAGGCACTGGTCAGCGACAGACGGGGAAAAGGGGACGAAAGAGCCAAATCAGGTCAAGGGGTTCTTGGGGCCCTACTGTGACCGGGAGGCTTGTAGTGTTAGATTTCACGTGTCTTACGCTCCTCAGAGGACCCAGGCTAAGAAGTAAAAGATTCTCCTGGGCTCTCTGCAGTGTCAGCCAGATGAGAACAGTTAAGAAGTCAGGCAGCGGGAGGAGCAGAAGAAGATGATGGGAGCAGGACCCACTTGATTCCTCTCAAGAGCTCGAGCAACTCGGAAGAGCAAACACCTAATGGCACTAAATGCAGAACAGAAGGGCGACCCAAAGCCTCCTGTACCGAGAGGCCCGGATCTTCCGTTTCCACCAAACTATCCGCGTGGAAGGGAACCAGATCGAAACGCGACCAGGTCGAGACACGGAAGATGAGAAGAGGGTCCAACCTGCAAAAAAATCAAAACAAGCCAGACCGATCCAAGCACAGCTCAGGAATGCCCACATTCTGGGACGCCCTTTCCTGAGCTGCTTTGAGCAACGGGGGTTAATCAGTAACTCCAATGGCTCACACACAAGAATGCTCATCCAGACCTCCCCCCTCCCCGGTCCTCACCTTCACGGCGGCGGACACCGCCGGGACGCTGCCGTACTGGACGTGCTTTCGGAGGTGGTTGCAGATGGCTCGGAGCGTCGGGTGCACTTCCACACAGAATTTACACTTGTAGCCCACCACCTTCCTCTCCTTGATCTTTGGCACCTCTTCTAAGTGACCAAAAGGCTGGTAAAATACAGTGGTAGCCATCAGTACTCCGAGCCCTCCCTCGCACGCCGGCATTTACGCTCGTAGCTTACTAGCAGATTTTATTTCAAGGCGGATTAGCAGGTTAAAAACCAAGGGAGAGCTATGTGAGTATTTTTACAGAACGAATTCGTCAGAGCCGTGGCACGCTGCCTACTAGGCAAAAGTCTCCGGAACCCAAATGTGTTACGACTTGTGAGGAGAGAAGATTTCTGTGGAGAAGCCTCATCGTCACGGCCACCGGGTCGTGTGGTTTTCAAACCAACGTCAACTACGCAGGTGAAACGTTGCATAGCTACGCCATTAGTGAACGTCTTGACCAAAAAAGTTAAAAAAAAAAAATTAAAAATTAAAAATTAAAAAAAAAAAAATAACCTACTCCTGGAGATGTTAAGGTTCACGTAGCAGACACTGCAGACCAGAACCACGGCTGAGAGGTGCCGGTGACACCGAGAGACGGCCCACAGCTGCTTTAGAAAGAGAGCGAGCGTTGTCGTGTAACTAGGCCTTGGATAAGGCTACTTGGCAGAAGGAGATCCAGAGAAACCACCACCCCGGCCCTCCCCTGGGGAGCCCTGGGAGGAGCGGGAGGGAGGGGAGCGGGGCCGTGGGGGAGGGGGAGCAGAGACCGGGGGATAATCAAGCTCGAAATGTTTAATTGACTTATTGAGCTCTCTGGCAAGCTAAGTCACTAGGAAGCCTGTAGCAGTTTGGCTGGCAACGAAGAAGTGCGTGTGGGCACCAGTGATGAGAGGCCTCCTGGGGGAAGGGAAATCAAAACATATCCTTACCCTCTCTTGTTTGAAATCTGCAAAAGCACCATCTGCATATTTCTGCTTGCTCAAAAGCTGTTTCCTCCTCTCCTGACGTTTGGCACGCTTCTGGAATTCCTCATTGTGAATGTTCAAGTGTGAGGTCAGCTCCGCCGTGCTTTGCAGTTTGCTATCACAGTGCTTACACTGGTAGGCGGGGTTCGGCAAGCGGGGGCCGCCGCCCAGGATGACGAAGTCCCTCTTCAGGTCCCGGCTGTGGTGGTCAGTGTAGTGCATGCACAGCAGCTCGGCCGTGCTGAAGGACAGCTTGAAGCACTTGATGCAGTGGAACGGGAGCCACTCCATCTCCGGGGCTTCGCTTCCCTCCACCTCGGCGGCTTTCTCGAAGCTGCCTCTCTCCTCCTCTTCCATCAGCACTGGCTTCTCGTGCTCGTCCGCGTAGACGGCCGTGAAGTAGCCGCCCAGCTTGCTGGCGTGCTGCTTCTTCGGGAACACCCCCGGGTGGCGCTTCATGTAGTGGGACACGATGCCCTTCTTGCTGAAGGACTGGAAGGAGCACAGCGAGCACTTCTTCTTCTCGACGGCCCGCCGGAGCTCCTCGCTGAGCTGCGGGGAGTCGTCCTTGGGCGGGGACGGGATGATCACCTTGTTGGGCTTGTCGCTGATGGTCCGGGAGGCGGCCAGGCAGTGTGTGTAGTAGGCGTCAATGTCGTGGCGCTTCTGGTAGTGGGCCGCCAGCCCTTTGCGGATGGGGTTGGTGTAGGCGCACAGGGCGCACTTGAAGAGGTTGTTCTTGCCCTCCGGCTGGGCGCGCACGTTGTTGTGCTTGATGCGGTAGTGCCTGGCGATGCCCTTCCGCGTGGAGCAGAAGTACTTGCACAGCTGGCACCGGAACACCGTGTGGGAGACCAGGTGCGAGGTAGAGAAGTGAGACGTGGACACGGGCTCCTCTCCCACCTCCTCCTCGGTAACGGAGACCTGGGAGGGGCTCCCGTCCGTGGCCACCTCGGGCTCGAGGGAGACCGGCAGCTTCGGGGGCGACGGGGAAAAGACATCGAATTCGGGCTGATTGTGATACTTCTCGTAGTGGATTTTGAGCTTCTCCAGAGTGCCGTGCGTGTACGGACACAGTTTGCAACGGTAGGCGCCGTAGCCTTGCTTGAAGATCCTGCTCGTCTCCTCCACGTCGTTCTGCGCCATGTCGGCCGGCTGCTCCACGTCGTGCACAAAGTCCTCGGCGGTCACCTTGATGGCCGGGTGTCGCTTCTGGTAGTGGGTCAGGACGCCGTGGATGCGGGTGTTGATGTATGGGCAATGCCGGCATTTGTAGACGGCGCCTGGGTTAATGTCGATGTCCTGGGCGAAGTCGGCCGCCTTCACCTTCATGCCGGGGTGCTTCTTCCCGTAGTGCGTGAGGAGGCCGTGCAGGTTGTTATACTCAGACTGGCACACAGTGCACTGGTACGGGGTGGACGATATGGCCGGGTTGGCCGAAGCCAGCTGCATGCTTTTCTCTGGGGAAAGCCTCGCGTCGTCCGGGCACTCGGCGTCCTGCTCGGGGAGCGGCGGGGGCAAACTGTTTTCACGGTTCGCAGGACCCACCAGCTCTTCGGCGGAGTGGGGGAGGGGATTCTCAATGGCGTCTTTCTCCTTGATGATATCCAGCAGCACCGACTCATCACCGTTCATGGCCCAGGGGTGAAAGGCCTGGTAGTGATTGGTGATGTCCCAGATGGACACGGCTTCAAAGACACAGTCTCTGCATCTGTACGTCTTCGCTTCCGCGGGCATCGTCAGAGAGGGAGGGGACGGGTCCGGCCCAGCCCAGAGTTTGGTGGCCATGTAAGTGTAGTCGACGTAATGCTCTGGGTGCCTCCTTTGGTAATGCAGGAGCAGACCGTTGGGCTCTGTGTGGGAGTAGATGCACCACTCGCAGTGGTAGCCAGCTTCTATCAAGCCATCGAGAAACGCCCACCGCATGATGGACGTGACCGTGGCCTTCAGGGCAGGGTGGTCTTTCTTGATATGCTTCCTCAGTGCATAGAAGTAGGGGGAGGTATATGAGCACTGCCTGCACTTGAGCGCTCGCAGTGTAGCTTTGTCCCGCTCCACGCTGGAGGGGGCGACGAGCACACAGCCGGCAGGCTTCCTCTGGTTCCGGTCACAGAGGCTTCGGATGGTGGCCGTGTGCTGCCGGATCACATCTGCATTGGCCTTGAAGTCCCGGTGCTTCTTCTGATAGTGAATGAGGACACCTTTGACCGTCCGGTTCCCATAATCACAGTGCTGGCAAAAGAACATCTCATTCTCCACAGGAGGGCCGTCTCGCTCAGAGCTGCCACGGTTCAGCTGTTGCATGGGGGCGGGTGGCCGAGGGGAGCCTTGGGGCCCCTCGGACCCTCTCATCATTGCAGCTGTGGGAGGAGCCTGTCTGATATATTTGGCAGTGACCTTTATTTCTGGGTGTCTTTTCTGGTAGTGGACAAGCACTCCCACAACTGACCGATTGCTGTAGGAACAGTGTTTGCAGTAGTAAAGCTCAGTACTGAGGTCTGGTGGCGGGGGTTGTGGGGGGGGTGGGGAACCCATGTTGGACATTTTGGGAGACATTGGAGCACCCACCTCAAATGATAATTGAGAAAGGGCAGAGCCCCTGTCCACAGACACCATTCGCATGGTTTTCTGGATCCTAAAGTAGGAAGCCTTTTCTTCCGGGTGTTTCTTCTGATAATGAACCAAGACAGAATGCATGTTGGGGCTTGCGAACGAGCAAACGTCACAATCGTAAACGACGACAGTGTTAACCGAGGGGTCCTTCTGATTTTCACATTCTGGAGTAAAGGTCTTCGAAGGAGTGTTTTTATTAAACGTAGCTGGCAGACCGCCCCCGCGAGCCACGGGAGTGGAAGTCGCCATGCTCTTGGGGGCCGAATTCAGAATCTCCCTCAGTGTCTGGGATTCCGTATTCAGCCCTTCCTGCTGCTCCACGACATAGCTGGAGAATATCATTGCGTTGTTAATCTTGACCGTGGGATGCATTCTTTGGTAATGTGGCATCAGGCTTCGGACGTTCGGGCTCGTGTAGGAACAAAACCGACACCGGTAGATCAGGTCCGAATGGTCAAAGTTGAGTACGTTCATGGCTTCCGGGTGGTGTTCGCCATAATGCTGCTGCAGGTCTTCAAAGTTGGTGTAGTCGATGTAGCATTCCAGGCACCTGTATACGGCACTGTGATCGTTGGGGTCCAAGATGTACCTAAAGCTGAACTTGATGTATGGGTGCATCCGCTGGTAGTGGGTGCTGACACTCCGGGCAGATTTGTTGTTAAAGTCACAGTGTTTGCAATAGTAAAGCCTTCCGGAGTCACCAAAGTCTGTGCTCTCGTTATTGTGCTCTGTTCCATAGATGGGAGTCTGGGTGTTCAGCAGAGCGGCACTGGAAACCTGGTGCTCTTTCAGGTTTGTCGAGGAGCCGTAATAGTCCTCTTCGTCTTCAGAAAGGGTGAGCTCAATCTCAGCCCCGTTGGTGGCATTGTAGTCGTGGGCGACGCTTCTGAAGCTGGGCTCCTTCTGGGGCTCCCCGGCGTCTCTCGCCCAAATCTGTTGGGCCGAGAAGGACGTGGACACCTCCATGACCGGCTCCGTCGGCTCTTCCTCCCTGTCCAACTCAACCTCTATCTCCACTTCGTTGTCTTCCTCTTCCTCCTCGTCGTCCTCCACATTGATCACCGCGTCCTCCTGCTGTTTTGTTTGGTTGATTTTGCTCTGCAGGTTGCTTGCTATCTCGTCGATCCTCGTTCTCTTCTTCACGGGCGATAAATCTAGGGGAAAGTCGTTAGCGAGCTTCCTGGAGGCCTTGGCTACAAAATTGTTCTTGGAGGACAACCCAAGAATTGAGGTCTGACTTTTCTTCACAGTGTTGCTGGAAGAGGGGTGGCTGTCCGTCTCACTCTCCAACGGCAGGCTTGAGGTCTGCCCCTCGAATTTTGGCAAGTTGTCGCAGAACGAGTGTTTGTGCTGCTGATGGACCCGTAGCCCTTTCAGAGTCGTGGTGGAGTAATTACACATGGTGCATTTGTAAGGGTGCGGGGGCGGGGCCTGCACGGGCGGCGGGGGCTGCTGCGTCGGCGGGGGCTGGGGCTGCGGCTGGGGTGGCACCTGGTGGGGGGGCTGTAGCTGCGGCGGCTGAGACGGAGGTGGCGGGGGCGGCGGCGGGGGCGGCGGCGGCGGGGGCTGTTGCTGCTGCAAGGGATCCAGCAGGACTCCTGACTTTCTGCCGTTGATGCTTGAGCCCTCGTAAGACACGACCCCTTCGGTCAGTGGAGAAGCGAGGCTTTCGCTCTGGGAATTCACAGCATCCCAATCTGACGCCGTACCCGTGTGACACTGTTTGTGAGCCCCGAGCTTTAACGAGCTCTTGCAAGTAAACGGACATTCGTCACATTTGTAGACGGCGGTCTTTCCGGACAAGTGGATGTTTTCTATGTGGCGGGAGATGCTACGTCGATGCATAGTGAGGAAAGGACAAAAGGGGCACTGGAACCTATTCATGAACCTTCTAAACGGAATGCCCTTGGTCTCCAGCAACTTGTTGCCGTCCGAGCCCATCAGCTGCTCTGCAGACAAGCCCGATGTCTGGTGATCCATAGCATTCAAGCCATTCTCGCTGTCTAGCTCATTCAGCTCTTCATCAGAACTGGAGTCATTCAGCATGCTGTTAGTCTCCAGGTCAGCGGAGGAATTGGTCATGTCAGCCATTCCATAACGCGATCTCTCCGCCAAGTTAACGAGGCCAGAGTTGTGAGGGGACTTCGGCTTCATCTGAGGGTAAGACACGGGCGGAAACTTGGAAGCAGATGAAGAATTGGGTCTCATGATGGAGTTACTGATGGAGCCCCGGAAGTTGGAGACATTAGCGCTGGGCAGCTCCCGGCTTGCAGCATTCATGGACAGATAGGTGGAATTGGAAGTGGGGCTGGGGGCGTTTTTGTTCTGCACGTCAGGGAGGTTAGTCCCTTCTTGCTGCTGTCGGAGGCTGGAAAGGATCTTGACCATGCTTCGATGCTTCTTCATCATGTGGTCACACCAGCGTTCTCGGCGGGGGGTCTGGTAGCTGCACCACTCACAGCAAAAGTTGCCTCGAGACTTGGTCAAAGGCTTGACCATGGACTCTAGGATGCTGCGCTCCACAACCTCTGCTGGCAGTTCCTTGCAGGGGTCCTGCAGGGACACAGGTGGGACCACGGGGTCTGGTATCGGAGCAGGGGCAGGGAGGGGAGCAGTGGTCTCCTTCAAATTGTTCTTGTGATACATCTTCTGATGCTTAATTATTCTCGCCCTCCTAGGTGACTTGTATGTGCAAAACTGGCAAGAGAAGACCTTTCCAAATCCCTCGTGCATCATGATATTATAATTTAAGGATCCTGGAACAGGGGGGCCCGCCGAACTCCCTTCAGCTTGAGCTCCGTGGACCTTCCTTGTGTGTTCGATGAGGAGGTTTTTCGACCTGAAGTAGCGTACGCAGAACTTGCATTGAAAAAACTTGTTTGTTGGTTTGGGATTAGGGGCAATATGCTGACCGTAATATCCTGGACTGTGGCCATAGTAGCTTCCGGTCCCCAATGCAGTTGCATTTTGACCTAAAGAAAAAGCATGAGGTAAGTGAGAACAGAAAAGCAAACAAAAGAGAATTAAGAAATTCCATCACGCAAATCAATTTTTCTTTTCAATTATTCTTCATTAATAAACATCACATTCAAAAGTCCTAACATCTCAAGATGAGGCCTTGAAGAGTATTAATGAAGCATTCATGAACGTACACATATCGCTTCTCACAGATGAAGACGCAGCATTCAGCTTTAGGAACGATACTCACCTCCTCTCCACCAATGTGCCCTACAGCTATAAAAAGATGCATTTCACACACTGCGACTTTCATCCCAGAATTCTGCAAGATACTGTCCCGTTCTCCAAATTGAAAGGAAACTAAGAGATATAAGGAAGCCGAAAGGACAATAACGTAGGACACTCAAGAAGAGAGACGTGACGCCCAAATCGCAAAGATGGCTCGCAGAGAGCAAGAAACTCTGAAGAAGCTACACACACCAAGGCCCACGGCTACAGGCTAAAACTAGAGGAGAGTGATAGGACGTATCAGATACGCCAAGAATCGGTGAAGATTTACCTGATAAATCCTCTGCGATCACAAATTCGTCCTTTATAGAAGAATACTCCACTTCTGTCTGATTACTGGCATTCATGGACCCGGATCGTGGCTCATTAGCATTGTCTTCAGCAACATCAGTTGGCTGCAGAAATGCCGTGTGGACATCCTGAATGTGCGCCTTGAGATCTTCGTAAGATGGGGCTCTGAAGTCACAGCCATCACACTGTAGCACCTCCATGATCTGGGCCTACCTTCTCACATTAGGAACCTGTGACAGAAGTCAGAACACAGCGTCTGAAGAACTGCCCTGGTTGCACATCCCAAGTCGACAGGGCTACAAGTCCATTAACAGAAAAATGTCTAGTATCGGCAGATTTCTCTCACTGAACTTTGCCAGTTGGAACACCGGCCAGAGAAACGCAATCAGACATACTAGGGATAGTGTCCTTGAGTTCCTAACTTCAAAGGAGGCGGGGGGAGCCCAGATAAACATTTTCCAGTTTGATATAAATACATCTCCAAATGCCATTGGTCAAGGAGACCCTTAACAGTTCAAAAGTTTTAGTAGTTTCTGAATTTCTTGACTGAATTTAAATTTTTTGTTAAGTCGATATTGACTTTGATTCTGGCTTGGACCCAATTTTTTTTTTTTTTTAACTAGAACCTTCTCAGAAGTGAAGAGGATGTCTGTACAGAAAAAAGGACAAATTTCAATCATCATTAGCGGTTTTAATATGAGAACTTTGATGTTTCATCCCCAAATGGTGAAATAGTACTCAACCTTGCACTGGTGGCAGAGAGAGCTTTTATTATGCCTTTTATTATTCTAATATCTTAACTGATATTGGGGTACGCTTCTTTCCTCCTTTCCCCAAAGTTTAGTCACGTGTTGCGCACGCGTGCGTGCACGTGTGTATGTGTTTCATAAGCTAAATGGTTATTTTGCTTTTTACTACCTACCAATTATAACCTAACAGCTTCTCCAATCTAATTAAGTCATAAACTATTTCTCACGAGATTCTCCAACCACCAACTTCAGATGACAATCCGGTTTCTAGTTTAAAGTTGCACCTTGGTACCTTGGTTTACATTAAGATAACAGACACAGTTTTGAAGAGGGGCTTCTAAGCTGTGACTCTTCTCTTTTCCTACGTCTCACCTTCACAAACGTGAAGTGTATACTTGCCTGCCAAGAGCCGTAAACCTGGGGTAAAAGCAAAACTTGCCCAGGTACCTTCACTCTGTTCTTCACTGGGTGATTGAGAGACACAGATAGCTTCCCACTAACTCAATGGAGAGGCTCACCATTAAGCAGTTAAGAATGTATTAGAAGGTATAGTCTGTCCCATCGCAATACACATCTTGAGTTGAGATACCCGGTTATTATCTTAATCAGTGAGTTCCTTCATTGAGCTCACCACAAACTCTACTGAGTCACTGTAATCTAGAACCAGATGTCCAAGAACTAAAACTGAAGCCAAATCTTTCTATACTTTCATTGTACAGCAACTTTCAATACTTTTTATGGCAAAGGGTAAATTGTTTCTGCAGGAGGAACAAAGTCGAGTAATATGTCCAATGTAGAGAAAGGAGCCATTGCGGGAAGATTTTCTATGAAAGAATGCTGCTGCTGATAGCCTGCTAAAATAACTTCTGGCAAGTCCAGCTCTGGACAGACTGAGCTTGCAGAGTGAGACACAGATATTTACCTCCTCTTCTTTCACCCAGCAATTTATCCTTTTCCAATAAACACTGAACTGTGCACCAGAGTCTTTTCAGCTAACGAAGTCTCAATATTCGAGATACACAAGCTTTTATGCCTAAGCACCAACCCAAATTGTGTGGAAGAGGTTGCTATCAGCTCTGGATCAAATTACAGCAGTCACCGAGGCCCCACCCCACTTCTCCTTTCGCACAGTCCATTAGACCTGAAAACAAATTTTTCCATGGTGCAGACGACTCCTGCATTTAGAACACTTCACAGAAAAAAGCAGATCATCCAGTGTGCACTCCCCATCCCCCAAGCCTAGCCCTTTCATCTCAGCCAAACAAGCCACAGCTCTGCTGAATGTGTTTATCACACTTTCAAGAGATAGGAGCCCCTGCGTCACTGAAGCTCTAAGACTCACTAAGCTGCCCTAGTCCTCTGAGCTTTAGGAGCAGCCATTTTAGCTCGGAGCTTCTCTTCCGTGCACAACATGGCTTCTCTGGGATTCTGCTAGGCTGACAATCAGAAATGAGCAGTAGAAGAACAGGCTGGGCTCCTCCTATGCTCTTCTCCTCAACAAAGAATGAACTGTTTTCATTGCTTTCCGAAAAGCAGCACCTTTCTGCTCCTCAAATGTCATTCACCAAGATCTCCGAAGGTTCTTTTATCCCATGATTGATAAGCCTGTTCGTTAGTCCCAGCAGAGCTAACTGGTTATTGCAGGACGATCCTGGACCAGACCCTGATCTACAGCAGGATTTGGGGGTGGGCCGGGGGGACCTCCAGAATGCCTTGGCTTCTTGGGACTCGTCCTTCCACACACAGAAGACATACCATCCGACTCTGCTTGCCAGATTCCAAAGTCTAATGACCTTTGTTAATCACCAGCCAGTCTGTCTGCATCAGCAGACCCTGCCAACAGACACACCCTTCAACACAAAGGCTGTAGCTATTCCTTTTAAAAGAGGTTCTCTGAAAGCTCCATTGTGTAGCCCGAGAGGAAAACAAAATCTCTTCCCTTCAAAACTTCAAGCCTTTAGAAATAATGCAACAAAAGGCTTTCTGCTGTGTGTCTTTTGGAAATTTTGAGCCTGGTTTGCACAACATCAACAAAAATTATGGTTCTGCACAAGGAAAGCAGGGCACCTTCACCGTTAAGTCATCCACCCAGACATGAAATTCATCTCTCTATACAGTTCTCTAATACCTTGGTGTCTTCGGAAGCGGTTATCAAGGATTCGAACTTCGCTGGATGCAAACACAAACCAACAGTCTCCTTGTTCTGCTACAAAGGAGATTAAAGGGTCATGAGATCAGAAAAAAAAAAAAAAACCAAACCCCACTGATTTGGAAAAAGAAGAGATGATGAAAGTGATTTCCTAATGGGTTCTAGCTTTAATGTTGTTGCAGTCTCTACCTCAAAAATAGCTCAGAGCCTTAGAAGAGGTTAATCTCCAGGCTGCGGAGAAAACCAGCGTCAGGTACAGCTGAATGGCCTTCAATGTGATGTCGGCACCAAGCACGTAAAGGAGGACAGAGCCTCCTTGGAAAGCCATTTTGCCTTTTTGTACACATTTCTCCTGAAGACGCTGACAGAAGAAGAAAACAAATTTCCAGCATGGCCTAAACAATCAAAGAAACAGAAACTCAATGTGTTTATGAGACCGAGGACGTGCACACGTGGAAGAAGTAAGAGCGGGAGGAGAAGAAAGGAATGGGGGAGGACAGGAGACAAAGAAAGCCGGACCGGAGGATGACCCATCCATCAACCAGAGTAGGTTTTCACAGCAGATGGTAATCCTCTGAGAAACCCACAACGAGGAAAAAGAGGAGAATGAAGCTCTGCATATCTGACTGCTTCATCCACCCAGAGAGAGCAACAACACTCAAAGACTCAGCTAGACACTGATCTGCTCCAAAATTATGATTTAAAGCTAAAAGCCTTGATCTTATATCTACTTACTTCATTTAAAAATACTGTCATAATGAGATTAGCAATACCTCCCCCCCCCTTTCCCCCCACTGACCCAATCAGCAAAATCAAAAGCAGAATAGGAAGCTTTAGAACTAACTAAAAAGAAATGCTATTTCAGAAGGTCATCGGGTGAGACTACAAATCAAACAATCACCCCCACTCCTACCACCCCTCCCCCAGGCAGTATTCCCAGGGCCCTCAAGGTCAAATAGGCATCAAGGACTAGACTCTAAACACCACCCACGAGGAGACCTGCTCCGTGAATATGGATTCTTCTCTAATGCCCTAGTGCCGAACGTGGTCAGTCCTCCTAACACACACGAAACCCCGAGACGATTCGAAGTATCCATTGCTCTTCAGTACCACTTATTACCCGTTGCTGGTGTGTTCCGTTTCCATTTCTAGTTTGGGGATTTCCAAAGGTGGGGTTTTGATGAGAAACCCTAAATCCAATTCTCCACATCTGACAAGCTCTTGAAGACATAGTCAAAGACAAGCCAGAGAGATCTTGCTCAAGATCTGGAATATACACAGGCGAAAGGGGAGAGGGAGATGATGGACACAGGCTGCTCTCTCATTTACACCACCTGCACACCCACTTTCTGTGCTCAGGATCCCAGGGAGCATAATGCCGCGGTGAAGGTGAAAGGGGGCGATGCGCAGCGTCATGGCATGTCCTTCTCCCGCTCACAGCCCAGACGTAAGGGGGAGGCACCCTTGATGGTTCACGGTGTTCTGACCACCTGGCCACCATCAACCCTCGCCCAGGGCAGCTTGGCGAGCACGGTTCTCCAGGCTTGCATAAACACGGTCTTCAAGTCAAAGTCCCAACTGTCTCCAGGAAGTGCCCGAATTAAAACATACAGGCCTTGCCTAGATCGAACCTGTTCTCTGACTGAAGGGCTGCAGACCAGAAATAAAGCCGGGAAGTGCCACAGCCACGGGGATTCAGCGGCAACTAATTATAACCTTCAAAGCCTTTGAGAAATAGAACCAGAAACACCATAAGGTGCTTTTCCTCTGTCCACTCCAGAAACCTAGTTTCATTTATAAGACACCGAGCTCCCCAGTTCTCCTGAATCACAATTCTAATAAAAGGTTTTAGTTAGTACCTGTTGTTTGTGCTTTTCTTACTTTCCAGTGAATGGAAAAACCAATTATCCAAGGACTGGTAGTGGAATGCATCAACTCTGGAATAGTTCAGCTAGAAAAACAGAAACATCAGGAACCTGCAGATCAGTCTACGAAATGTATTTGCAGATCGGAAAGAGCCGAGAGGGTGAGGTCAAAGAGCTATGGGGCGTGTTAGGAGGTTAGCACTTCTAACCCTAAGCCCCAGCACTGCTATTGGGAGGAAAGAAGAATTTTCATTACAAGGATGAAAAATGGGGGAAAAACAACTAACTCAGCCACTTGGGGATGTGGGTTGCTACTCTGACAGCAAGGGGTGTTCTATGTCACTACTTATCACTTAACCTTGTCACGGTCAAAGTGGCAGTTCTAGTAATTTTTTTTTTTTTTTTTAAGATTTTATTTATTTATTTGAGACAGAGAGAATGAGAGAGACAGACAGCACATGAGAGGG